AGGTTCATGGTTGGGCTGGAGGAGCTGCAAGGGCTTTTCCAACCGAGATGATGCTGGGATTCCGTGAAAAGTGATGACATAGCATCAGAGCCAGGGAAATCTTTTCCACTGTTTCCATCATTTTAGGACAGGTGATGGGTGGGTTTGATAGCACCAACTGCCAGGCACCTCCTGGTCTGCCAAGGCCTCAGAGGTGCCAGAGACTCAGGAAGAATATCATGGATTATCTAAGCAAGAAATGAAAAATGCTGCAGGTTTTGCCTGATCAGTATAAATAAGTCTCTCCACACTCCCTCACAACCCCTCACTGCCAACAGATTGTTTCTGTGATAGATCTAACGCAGCAGTAAAGTTGATGAGGGTGTGGGAAAATAACGGAAGGTTGGCAAGGAGGATTATAAACACTGAGGTGCAGAAAACTACATAGAATAGTTTAGATTGGAAGGGACCTTAAAGCTCACCTAGTTCCATCTCCCCTGCCACAGGCAGGGAAACCTTCCACTAGACCACGCTGCTCAAAACCCCGTCCAACCTGGCCTTGAACCCTTCCAGAGAAGTATCACACTAATTGTTGTTTAGCCTTGCGTGCTGGACAAGTAGAACACCTGTGTTTTGATAACATAAACCTGTGATAGAGACACGCTTGAGATTCTTGCCCTGCTGTGGGAAAGCTCAAAGCACAGTGGTAAACGACGGCCACACAAATCCCTGGAGCATGGGTGCAAACAGCAGGTTGGATGATCCTCTAATGTGGCCCGAGTTCCACTGTGCCTGAATCCCCACTGTGAGGTAATGAAAATAAATTTACTCTTTTCATTTCATCCATGATTTGTGGTTGCTCCTATGTCCTGCCTGTGCTGGCTCACACAGAGGGGCAAGAAAACTTTAGAACTTAAACCAAGCAACGCTACTTGGATAAAGGCACCTTGAAGAAACATGGGAATAGCCAGTGACTGCCACTAGAGTTTCCTGCACCTCTCAGAATCACAGAGTCATTGAGGTTGGAAAAGCCCCTCGGGATCATCGAGTCCAACCCCCAGCCCGACTCTACAAAGTTCTCCCCTACCCCACATCCCCCACAGCTCATCCCAACGGCCCTGAAACCCCCCAGGGATGGGGACTCCCCCCTCCCCGGGCAGCCTGTTCCACTCTCGGACCACTCTTGCTGGGAAACATTTTCTCCTCCTGCCCAGCCTGACCCTCCCCTGGGGCAGTTTCCAGCCGTTCCCTCTTGTCCTGTCCCTGATCCCCTGGGAGCAGAGCCCAGCCCCAGCCTCTCTGCAATGTCCTGTCAGGAGCTGCAGAGAGGGATGAGG